TTAAAAAACATTTATAAAGGTATTATTATATTATTATTATTATTATTATTATTATTATTATTATTATTATTATTATTATTATTATTATTATTATTATTATTATTATTATTATTATTATTATTATTATTATTATTATTATTATTATTATTATTATTATTATTATTATTATTATTATTATTATTATTATTATTATTATTATTATTATTATTATTATTATTATTATTATTATTATTATTATTATTATTATTATTATTATTATTATTATTATTATTATTATTATTATTATTATTATTATTATTATTATTATTATTATTATTATTATTATATTTATGATTATTCATGGTCTTAAAAAAATGCAAGTATGACAAAAAAACCAACATATGTCCTAAACATTGTTATCTGTTAATGACCCACTTAAAAAAACTCTCAAAAACACTCATAAAACCAGTTAGGGCTTGAAACCGATGTTGGATACCGATTTTGAATATCGGTAATCAAAGCCGAAATTGAAATGGGAAAAAACAAATTGGTACAGATATTCAAAAATCAAAACCAAAAATGAAATCGGAAAAAAATAAGTATCGATATCAGAAACTGAAATAAAAATCGGAAAAAATAAACACTGATCTCCGAAACCGACATCGAAACGGGAACAAATGTTTTCGGTTTCAAGCCCTATAAAAAACTGTCAATAATATTGTTTATCGATATTAAAATTAAAAATTACAGTTTATAAACATACGTAAAGTCGAGGTAGTAATGTCGCGCTTTACATTATTTATTTATTAAAATGAATTGGCTCGGACCTTTTATTACATTAGTTTATTATATAGTATATAAACGCATTTACATAATATAACAAATAATATAGATTTACACAACATGACTTTTATGGTACACAGAACTGTAAGTTGTTAATTTAGCTTAAAAATTGAAGGATGATTGGTGCACATTGGCGGTGGACAAAACGGACGACTCGGGGTAGTAGTTGATTTGATATAAGTTATTTATGTGTTGGTCGATAGTGGAATGGGGTAAAGGGGTAAAGTGTTGAACAGCTCTTCGAGGTGGGTATAGGTACTTGAAAACGGATTAAAGACGAGGGTTATGTGGGCGAGCCCCCCCAAACTTAGCCGTAGCCCCCCCCAAAAATCTACAAGTTTATAATGCTATAATATTATAAATGTGTACAGTTTTTTTTTTTTATGTTTAAATAATTTTTTTTTTTATTGATCTTTATATATAACTCGGCAGCAAAGGCCATTAGTTAATCTCTTACATATTTAAATAATATTATATATTATTTATGTTATTTATAAAATAAAAATTATCACCGATCTTGTATAAATGAATGTATAATATTATTTTTATCCTATATTATTTGAAATTATTATTACATTGTGTTATTATTGTTATCACGTCATGATCGCGATTGTATATTATACTAAATGTATATTTAGGTACCTACCTACTTCATACTAAATAATTATATAAGATACTCTTTACTAAACCCACGATGCTAGTAACAGGCGATAAGCCCGCACAATATTTGACATGACGTGTTTATATATAGTTTATTCTATATTATATTAAATGTTTATTTTTATTGTTTTAAATTCGGCAAACTAGGTCTTTCCCTTATGGTTAGGTACGTCATATTATCCGCTTGTCGTTTTCATTACAACAGTTAACAATCCGCGTTTACGTTAGTCTATACTCTATCGTTCATTTTACGCTTTTTCAATTCCTGTTAGTTCAGCCACGTGTGAGCGTTCTTTCTCCACTATGAGAAGAATTAAAAATTGGCTACGCACATCGATGGACCAGGAGCGATTTTCTAGTTTGGCAATAATAAACATTGAAAGAGAAGTATCAAATCAGCTTAAAGCTGAGGATATACTAATTGAGTATGCTAAGACCAATAAAAGGTTACAATTATAATTTGTTGTTTGTTTATATTGATTGATATATAGGTATATTGAAATTAATTAATAAATGTATTACCTACTATGTTGTTAAAATCATGTTATTATAAGTCACACCCCCACTTGAAAATTGAGGTAGGTCGACCGTAATAATGAAGAAAAAAAATTTAATTGGATTATGAAGTAATATTATAAGGTAAGATAATATGAATGGTGACGGTGGGGGGTGTGGGGGGCTTGCCCTTAATATATTCAGCCCCCCCAAGTCAAAAGTTGAAATTGCGCCTATGGCGAGTGCTCGGGAGCGGAGATAATAATATTATGATATTATTATTGTAATGATATTATGTCGAACACAAAAATGTACGCTGCTCTTCAAAAATCGGTATTACAGGCGGGTGTGCCTGAAGTGTTTGGTTACACCCGAGACGAAATGAACCGACTTTATCCCTCGGAAACCATAGTGTAGGTAATAAGTGCACGAGGTGATCTCTGACGGAGAAAACACATGGAAACTAAATTCGAAAGGATAGGATTATCCGCACCGTAATGGCAAAATCTAATGCCAATCAAGGTAAGTATAGGTACCTACATTACGATTACTTACATTAATAAACCGCCTTGAACACTATAAGCCAGCTATAACGCTATACACCTGTTTGAATTACAAACGACAGTTTAAAACGTCTTCGATGCATCGATCGAATCGAATTCCCAGACACAAAGTCGGATTTAATAACGCTTATTACATAAGGTAATATAATACTAATATGGTGCCTATATAATTATTATATAAACTAGATATGAGCTATGATGATATATTGTTAAAAATAAAACGGTGACGTTATACGGCGGTCAAATAAGTATGTAAATTTCTTTATGAGAATTTGGGAAAATGACTAAAAAAATCTATTTTAATTGTATTATACCTTTTACCCCTGTTTAAGGGTTTAATTGGCAACAGTGTGTATATTAGTGACATGATTTTATTTAAAAAAATTATTTCTTATATGAAACTATTTAGATATTACATGATGATATACTTTATATACAATTAAAAATAATAAATAATAAACACTGTATGTATATACCAAGTGAAATCCAAATAAAATGCCCATCCGAGTACTGGTAAAGAACATCACGATTCATATTTTTTCCTTAAACGTACATTGTATCCAAAAAGCTACAAATATTTATTTGATTTTTTTAAAACTATAATATTATTAATATAACGCTAATATAATAATATTATCGAAGACGGTTTTCTGAACGAATGGCATTTTGAAAGTTCTCAGGCAATTCGGGTAGTGCGTTATATTAAGGACAATTATAAAAGTAATTAAGACCGTAATCCAATTTCTAAAGATTTTCTGGAAAAGACCTATGCCAAAATAATATAAATTAACGTTATGTGAAAAGTAAATGTCACATTTACCTTTTGTATTTCAACGTCGATAAGTATGTCAATACGATATTAAATTGTAACTATAATAAGCAACATATTAATTAGTAGGTGTATTACATATTTTAATTTCAACACAGACGAAATGATTAAAAATCAGTTTTTCAGTTTTTTAAATAGATATTTGTTGAACGAGAATAGAACAGAATTACTATAGGCACCTGTCTTAAAAAACCTTTGTTAGTCGTTTCTAATTTATAATATTATTGTTCTCAATAAGTTTATTTTTCTATAATATTACTATAAACCGACTCTAATATGCCTAACTAGTATAATCAAATACAGCTTTTGCAAGTTCTCGTGATATCCGGATGATATAAAATGTTATCAAGGTTTAAATCGGGACCGTTATCTCATTCCTAAAGCTGTTCCAAAAAAAAAAAAATAATAATGTAATAATAGAACTCGATGTAAACATATTTTTGATTTCGGTATAGGATAAAATAATAATATTGCTTACCTATAGTAACACTGTCGCATTTGTCCTTTGCCTTTTACCAGGTATGTCGTTACGATATTAAATCGTTTAACTAATAAGCGACATATTATTTAGTGTGTAACATTTTTTAATTTAAAAACAGGCGAAACGATTAAAAATCTGTTTTTCTATAGATATCTGCTGAACGAACATAATATTATTATAACGAAATGATTACAGGTACAAGGAAGGTACCCAAAATTAAAAAAAAAAAACACTTGTTTTATTTTTAATTTATTTTATTTTACGGGCTTAGGCCTTTGGCAAAAACGTAAGGCATTTCTAATATTTCTAATATTGTACTGTTCTCAATAAAGTGTTGTCCTATTTGATTTTTTCAAAACTATAATACATCAACGCTAATTAAGTACTATGGTATTTTATCAAAGACAGCTTTTTGAATGAATAGCACTTTGCGAGTTCTCCGGCTACGTTATGAAATACTATTAAACCCAACGTTATCGGAAAGACAGTCATCTCTTTCCTAAAAAGCTTTGCTAAAAAAAAAAAATCCGACGCCGAATCTAAAATAATTATAGAACTCGGTGTCAATATATTTTTGATTTTGGTATAGGATGAAACGAGGGATGAAATATGTACTTATAATAGTAACACTGACTCTTTTGACTTTTGCCTTTTACCAGTCGATAAGTATGTCGTTACGACATTAAATCGTAACTAACAAGTATTTAGCAACATAATATTTACTATGTTTTTAATTTCAACACAAGCGAAACGATTAAAAATCTGTTTTTCGGTTTATTCTATACATATTTGCATAGAACGAAATAATTACAGGTCCGAGGTACCCAACCTTCAAAAAAGAAAAAGCTTGTTTTACAGAGGTAGGCCTTTGACGAAAAAGTAAGGCCTTTCTAATATTTCTAATATCATATTGTTCTCAATGAAGTGTTGTCCTATTTGATTTTTTCTTAAAACTATAATATCACTACACGCCAACGCTAACAAGTACTATAATATTATCAAAGACAGCTTTTTTGACGAATCGCACTTTGCGAGTTCTCCGGCTACGTTACGAAAAACACTCAAGGTCAATGTCATCTCTTTCGTAAAAAAGTTTTCTAAAAAAAAACCGACGCCAAAGCCTGCATAATAGCAATTATAAAAAGCGACGTCAACTTTTTGATTTCGGTTGTAAATTTCGGTCGTAAGTTTTAAAATATGTACTCACTTCGGCAAACGACTTTTTGGTGTACTCGTTGAGGGCGGACGTCCACTCGCCGAGCAGATAGTCGACGGCCGACGGTTCGCCGGCGCTGCCGGCCGTGGCCGCGGCCGCGTCGTACAGCCACTTGAACACGTCGTTGGTCCAGCGGACGGCGTCCGGGTCGTTGCCGGTGGCCGCGGGCGGCGGCCGCCGCTGGTGCTGCGGGTGGTGGTGGTGCAGGTGGTGGGCCGCCTGCTGCTGTTCCGACGAGAACGCCTTGCTGGCGGCCGCGGCGGCCGGGACGGCGGACAGACCGGCCGCGACGCCGGCCACGGCCGCGGACGTGCGGCCCGACTTGGAGCCCAGCCGCTTGCGGGCCACGGGCGGCGTGGGCGGCACGGCGGCCCGGTGGTGGTTCAGCTGGGCCGGCCTGCGGTCGGCGGCCGCGTCCGGTTCCTGGCCGGACGCCGCGGCCGTCCTGGCGGCGGCGGCGGCGGCCGACTTGCGGCCGGCGTACAGGGCGGCCCGGCCGTAGGCGAACTTGCCGACGGCGAGCGCGGCGAACCCGACCAGCGCCCAGCAGAACAGGTACATGATCAGCGTGTCCATCGTCTTGCTACCATCGCTTTCGAAACTGCATATGAGATCGTCGATGGTGTCGGCCAGGTCACCCATGTCGGGCCATGGCGTGCGGTCCTCGGTCGTAGGTGTTCCCCCGTTCCGATGACGTGTCCGCGCGACCGTTAACGATATTTTTTTATCGACCGGTGCGAAACGATATTATAACAACGATATTGACAACGATAATAACGCGCGTCGCGTTCGCAGTGCGCTGCGGTGGATCGTCGTCCGGCGGTGCGTTTCGCGGTCGTCGACGGATCGTTTCGCATTCGACGGATCGTTCCGCGGCCGGCCGATCGCGCGCGCGTCTTCTCCGGTGGCTTCGCGCTCCGGCGCGTTAAAAATAGACACGCGGGCCCGCTGCCGCCGTCCGGTTTTGTGTTGGCTGCACCGTCACCGGCGGCGACGCGTCGGCCACGTCCGCTCTGCAGACGGCGGCGGGCGGCGGTATAGGATTACAAATTATTTTTTCCCGTTCCTCGCGCGCGTCACCAGAAATAATAATAATAATAATTATGCCAACGCGAAGCGACCGACCGACCGACATTATTATTATTATTGTGTCGCGCGTATTGTACGTCATGTCGTCATTGTAAAAATAAAAACCGGCCCGCGCGTGCGCGTCCGCCGCCGCGGAGGTACCGGCAGCTACCTCGACTCTGACCGCGGCTGGTAGGTACCACCGCTACGCATGTACCGCGGTTAAAAATAAAGCCGGCTGGCGGCTGGTAAGCGACACGTCCGTCGAGCGGGTGTCCCGTTCAAAAGTCGAGCTCGGTCCGACGTCTCCCGGTCGGTGTCGGCTTCGGAGACTTACAAAGCGGGGGGGGGGCATTTTTTTTCAACTAGCACTGAATTGCAAAGGGGACTTTGAGAATATTCTAACCGGGATCCTGTAAGTTTGTCAATAAATAATGTCTCGTACATATTTACACTACATTAAATTTGGTTTTATTTGATAAAATATTTTACACAACAAACTCCGGCCTTCTTTTTTTTTGTTTTGCAAATAATTCTATTATTTCGTCCGCTTCATCATACATGTTAATGTTTTGATCAGTGGCGTCCGCAAGGAGGGGGGGGGGCTAAAGGGCTAAAGCCACCCCATTGCCCGTATTATTGTTACTTTTTCAAAAAAAACATTAATCAAGTTAAACTGTCAACTATAGTAAGCAAGAAGTAAATTTCATATATGTCTTACCAGAATGAATTCATATACCAATTTTCATAAATTATCTGTAATTTTTAGGTAAAAGTATATGAACTACTTGTATGAAATACCTTGTATTAAATTGTCCAGCCTTAGCTATATATATTTTGTATTTTATAAGTTTTGAACTACAAATTAACTGTCATTTTGACGAAATTTGAACTTTAAATGCTTATAAAAAATAGCCATGGTGCCTATGTAATGTTTGAAGTATGAAATATTTCACAAAAACGTGACACATTGAAATTTTTTTACACAATTTATTTATTTTTTAACACAATGTTCAGTGTTCTAACTTCTAATGACAGAATTCAGTATTTATACAATATACATGTATAATATTGTATACCTGCTTGTATCATTTAAACATTAAAATATTTAAAAATTTCGAATACCATTTTAAATGTATAATACCAAAGGTTAGGTAACATACAGGTACCATATAGTTATGAAGGTAATTTATGACAATTATATGTAAATATAAAACTTATTTAAAAATAAAACAAAATATATCAAAATACTAAAATATTTCATTTTTTTAAATTTCATGAAATTTTCAAACACTATGCCTATGTATCGTTAATATTTTAGCTATAATAAAATAACTTACGTATTAAATTTTTAAGGTTTTTGACCGGATAAATAATTTTTTATTGACATTTATATAGAAAAAAAAAATGTAATTATTCAAATACAATCCAAGTGAAGACGGTATAACCAAACATTTAAATAAATTTTCATTTTTTTTTCTCCAATTATTTCTAAAAGCACTGAGAATTTTCAACTTCGACCTCCTAAAAGTACCAACTAGATCCAATTTGCTTCCAAAAACATACACTGGGCATCAAAGCTTATGATCAGAGCATTTTTCCTACCAGAAAAGTTGAAAGTTACAAACATTTTAAAATACCTCAAATAAACGTGTGAAATTATTAGATTGGACAAAATAAAAATGTAACTATTTTTCAAGCCCGTTAATTTTTTCGATCTTATAAAAAATTGTCAATAATAAATTGTTAAAATATTACAGTTTAATATATAGTTTTAAATTTAATATCTGTTATTTAAAATCTATTAACCGTGGCTAACAGCTAGTACCTAGGATTTTGGTGCTTTCGTACGATACGATTTTGGCAATTTCGTACGATACGACGTTTTTTTCTTATCTCATTTTGGCGCTTATGTATTTCTTTTAACAATGTTGTTAAAAATACTATTCAAAAGTATTACAAATAGGTATTTAAATACTTCAATTAAAAAGTATTAAAATATTTATTTAAATACCTTTGCTAATATATATTTAAATACAAATACAAATATATTCAAAAAGTATTTCAAATATTTTTAAATACATTTTTTTAAGTTTTATTATTTTTTGATTCTTAATTCTTATAACTAATTATTAATTGTTTAATTGAATTTCAGTGTTGACTTTTCTTTTAACATCTATTGAAGCATTAGCTAGTAATTCTCTAACAGACTTGACATTACTATGTTTATCCTATACATTTTAGAACATTAGGTAAAAATAATAAATATAGATGGTACTAGGCAATTTTTCTGATCTTTACTTTTAATTTTTTATACAATTTGACTGAATTTGTACAATTATAGTATCTAAGGACTAAGAAGGTACACAGGACAATTGTTACAATTACCTAGTAATAAAAAATATGAATTTAGAATCATATCTTTGTTTGTCGATAACAACATTTATAATCGTCATGTCTTTCCATCGACGATAAGCAATTTCTTCATAATCGATAAACGAAACTAAATAGTAAATATCTTGTTTGAACATTTTGTATTTAATATTTTTAAATACAAAATATAATAATATGTATTTGAAATATACTTGAAATACTTCTGTCTAAAAGTATTTGAAATGTATTTAGAATACAGAAAAAGTATTTAAATATTAATATTTAAATATTTAACAAGTATACTATTCCACCGCCACTATCTGTGTTTATAAAAACCAAACACTAAAGATTTAAAAAAAAAAAAAAATACTCGATAAAATTGTTTACTATTAATTAATATTATTTACTATAATATTATGGGCTACAGTTGTTGGCATTGACGAGTTTAAAAGTTAAAGTTAAGCTACCTTTAAATATGTTACATAACGAGTTTCTTTTTTTTTTAAAGGTAACTTTTAACTTAAAGTGTTTACAATTTCCATGTTTATTTGTCAGCTGGTAAACGCCGAATTACACTTCAGAAGAAAATTAACGCATTTATTATTCATATAATATGAAATAGGAACTAATAATTCCTTCCGTTTCGCAAACTTTACAAGTTATAGAAAAAAAGTAACTTTTGACTTTAACATAATATTAACATAAATATTGTCAAGTAGGTATTAACTGACTTTAAAGAGTTAAAAAAAATTTGTTCAAATTGCATATTATTATGGCCTTAATATTTTATACTCTATATAGAAAAAAAATCAATATACTGATAATGGATATTTTGTACAATGTACATAATATGAGTCATAAGATTATAAGATAATCTTCACACAATAATAAAAATTTGCTATAAACGAGCTTTATTCTCATTTATACTTATAGTGTCGTTTCGTATCATTTTCAGAGACGTAAACTATCCATTTAATAATAAAATAAAGGAACCATTATAATAGTAGTATACCATTTAACTAGATACTATAAATTCGGTCTTATAATAAACTTGGATGTGGAAGTTTCTAATGCCCTTTTCGTGATCAAAGTACATTATGTTTTTATTTTTGTACGTTACCGATACTCTATAGTGGACTTTCAAATAAGGAAAACGGATATGGGAAACGAAGTGCTGGGAAATTGTCCATACAATTAATGTAAATCATGAAAATTCCAACTAAATCTGTTTTTGGTTTTGAATACCTGTTTTATATTTTTTGTTTATTATTTTTTTTGATTACCGGTATTGATTTTGAATTCGATTTTGTTTTTGGTTTCAGTATCGATTTCGGTTTTTAGCGGTTTAAACCGGTATTCAAAATCGGCATCAAATACCAGTTTCAAGCCCTGAAAAAAAAAACTAACGAAATCCGACTATTCTACAGGGCGTGAGAGTTTTTCCTGTAAGACATGATTTTGTACTAAAAACGCACCGGCCATTAAGAGTTGAGTTTACATGGGTGCAACGTGTTCGAATCATTGTTTCCGAAATGTAATCAATTCATTACCGTGATCATTATTTAACGATTAAATTATCATTTGAAAAGGAAATTACGACTTAATCTGTTTTTCACTTATAAGCTAATCGCGCGTTTATGTTTTGATCGAACATTTGAACAGCTAATTAATGATAATAATATTATATACCAAGATAGGCCATCAAATAACTTATGACGATTAATACGATACAGCCTCTAGTCGATTACCAAGAGTTTTTCGATTTTCCCGGTCCTTCCTGATCATTCCCGGGAATCGCACAACCCTAAGTCACGTATTGAAAATATATTATATTAATTGACTCCGTCTGTCTCAAGCGCACTTATCGCAAACGACGAACGACGACGACGTGGGAAGTCTCCTGCAGTGGTGTTTACAAGGGGGACGTGGGGGGGTGAGATCCCCTACCATTGGCTTTGGAATGGATAATCTTCCATTTATTATCGTGTTTGATGTGAATTTCGAATCGATTCAAATTATAATATTCATTGTCCCTTATCGTTAAATATTTTACTACCCAAGTATAAAAAGTTTTGAGAAGGTGGAGGATTTTCCGAATTTCCCCTCCCATTTAGCCATGTCGTTTTCTTTTTTGATCCCCGTGAAAAGGGCTTTTAGAAATCACGTCTACGCCACCGTTTCATTCGATGTAGGACGATCGT